GAAATGTTCTTTCGAGAGTGCGAGTTTTATACGCAAATAATATCAAGATAAAATAAGCAAATAGAACGAAATGTCTCCATCTCATTTAGCTGCAAACAGGCACTAAAACACTCWKAGACAAGKMWWGWSWWGWCTCTSWYTMCTTGTCTGTGAMKAAAACACTAAAACCGCTGTCGTTAACCATCAAGTTAAACTGTACATAACCTAAAATTCAAAACGTATTTACACATTTTCGGTTTAAATTTATTACATTATACTTTAATTTAATTTAGTGCTTATGCTGTGCGTATGTTGTTTATATGCATATATTTCATGTGCATAAATGGGTAGCGAAAATGGTCTTAAAAAGAACTTTGGTAATTGTTCTCTATGTTACTTCGATGTTTATTTTCGGTTTTATTTTGAAATACAGTGATGTTTTGAGTGATTTCTTATATTCCTTAAGTCCAATTGATACCAGGCAAGAGTTCGACTATATTGTGGGTGAGTTCATTTATTTTTTAATTTTTTATACTTCTTTTTTCTATGGAGTTCCTCCATTTGCACTGGGAGCTATATACTAGCATTGTAGCCACTATTACCGCAAACTAAACAGTTTAATACTATTCAATGTCTGAATTGTATACTTGTTATGCATTGAATTAAAGGCGACCCATCCTCTATATTGGAAGATATCTGAACATGTGTTCATTTTAGTCTATGAAACGATAGCCCTCTGTAAAATACTGAAATTCACTTAAATCAACTTTAAAATCAATGATTTTTTAAATTTTCTCTTTTGTTCTTCTAACATTTTAGTAGGAGGAGGATCAGCTGGTTCTGTTATTGCTAATCGACTCGCGCGAAATGCACAGGATAGAGTGTTGGTTCTAGAAGCAGGAAAAAATACTATGGGACTGTTACATATTCCTTCTGTAGGATTACTGCTGCAGGGGACACCATTTGACTGGTCATATAAGACAGTGCCTCAACAAAACGCTTGCTTGGCGTTAAATAATAATGTAGGTACATTGAACTAGATTTATGGTAACCATTATTGAAGTTGGAACATTTCTTTTGAATTCAATGAATGGAAAAAGTGGAATTTTCTATCAAGAGAACAATAATTTTTTAATGCATTTGTCATTTTAATTAGTTATGTATTAATTATAGTCTAGAGTTGAAAGTATTATTATAAGTATTATTCAATCCGACGAACATTGTAAGTTTCACGTTGGAATTAAATCAAAATATTGAACGAAAAGTTCTAAATTATTTTTGGGTTTTATCAGGCTGTTTTAGTCATGAATAATAACAAAACAAATGACACAATAAGTTCCGTTAAAAGATTTAAACAATTTGAAGACACTAAGTAAATATAATATTATTATTTAGAACACTGTATTATTTAGAAGATGTTTTCAAAAATAAACCACTGTTAATTATTCAAATTTAAAATTTAGATAATTTCATTGTATAAAAACTCAACATTTCTATCTTGAGTAATCTTGGTCACTACCAAAGGGAGTATCCAGAACAGTTAATAAATCCACAAAGAGGGTGAACAAATAGATAACCATTGAATTAATTTCTACAATACATAGCTTTCTGTATTACAAAGGCTAATTTATTTGTACCTTTTGACCGTTTTAAGGTGAGTGTATGGCCTATGGGTAAAGTACTGGGTGGCACTAGCATGTTAAATAACATGTTATATGTTCGAGGGCATGAGGAAGACTTTAAAGAATGGTTTAAAGGGAAAGAGGATTACAGCTATGATGATGTTATGGCTTACTATAAAAAACTGGAGGTGTTCGGAACACCGAAGGAAAAAGGTGTGTGAAAAGCCAACCGCCCGAATAAAATAAACTATCGACGAAGGACCGAAATCCGTTATTGAAAATATACCATACTTACATATATATTCTACCGTTATTAACTGCTCATTTTTTGATATTTTACATCTTTAGAATATACAAGGTGGTTCTAAATTGAGACACAATCCTTTAGTTAAAATTTTCAAATGGAAACTGCTTTTAAAGATTCGAAGTAAAATTTTTTTCATTTATTTCGACGTAAATTTATTAGATTTTTATGTAGCATACTCGATGTCGATATTCACATGGCTCCCAAGAAAGATGCATTTTTATGACTTTGTACACTCTAACGCACTTAGAATATTAGAATAACGTGCCAAAGCATTTCTCAGAATTAAAATTTAATGGAAAATTTAAATCATATCTGAAACATGTCTGTTCAAAAAAAGTTTTACATAAATTTAGTGCGTTTTATAAGATTCCTTCCAAACCATCGTTAAAATCCGTAACTTTATGCAACGGTGGTTAAATAATTTCAGACCCGAGTCGCTTTGATGCGCCCGTTTTCATCAGAGATCTAATATTTTCTACTGATCTAAATAACATTCTATTGAAAGGTGCTAAAAACCTGGGTTTTCCAGTATTGGATACCAATTTCAACAGTAAACTTGGTAAGATAGAAGTTATTTTTGTGGCTAAATATAATTTAAATTGATCAAGCAATAATTAAACGTACTTGTTGATTGATTTAAGGATTTAACATTCCTAAAGCCAACCTGCATAACGGTAAACGATGGACATCTACCGATCAGTTAAAGAAAAATACTAATTCAAACTTACTGATCCGAACAAACTGTTTTGTAAACAAGGTATTACCTTGCAAAAACCAAATGCAAATCTGAAGTAAATCAATTTACACATTTCAGGTAATCATCAATGTAGGTTTTGAAGCCCAAGGAGTAGAATATTCCTATTTGGGAAAAAAAAATTCCGCGTACGCAAAAAAAGCAGTTATACTATCAGCTGGTGTTATTGGAACCCCAAAGATTTTAATGTTGTCGGGAATTGGTCGAAAACATCACTTAGATGATTTGAAAATCCATACAGTTGTAGATTTACCTGTGGGAGATAACTTGCAAGATCACGTTACAACAGGTAATACGATTGGACTTAATGGCGAAGGAAATAATTTTGCTTAACCATTAACACTTAAGCAAATGCAATTTAGTTAATCTCAATATTTTCTTTCTTCAAGGTTTTGATCTTGTATTGCTTAATAACAGTCTCAGTCTCAGCTTAGAACGAATAGTATCTCCCTTCTCAGCATTGGAATATTTTTTTAAAGGTTCCGGCCCATGGTCTTCTACAGGGTTAGTAATGAAAAATCTAAAATACATTGCTACATATTGCCTTTGCTTATTGCTTTCATGGAAATGCTAATTTGGTTCTAACAAGCTTTAAGTTTGCTTGAGTGACTTGACTAAACCCTTTTTATAAAGGATGTTTTTTAGAGGTATAGAAATTTTAACTGAAATAAGTCACTAAATTTATGTTAACGCCACTTCCAAACTTCTTCCAAAGACCATAAAGCACAACAAGCAATAGGTTTTTCTGGATATAAGGGGTCTCAATAATGGCTTCTGGATTTCGTCGCTCCAAATCCGCCAATTTTGTTTATTTACTCAACCATTGAGACAAAACCGATTATGTCGACAGTAAAATGAACGTAGCGCACGGTGAGCTGAACGAACTGAACAGCGATTTTCGAAATAAATTGCCGAATTTGGAGCGACGAAAATCGAAAATCCGAAAGCCATTCCTGAGACACCGTTATATCCAGAAAATATCGCTGTTTGATGTGCATTTTTATGGGCTATTGTAATCAAAGTGGTCGAAAATTGGACATCTTTCGTGGATTGCTCTTCATTCGAGCCAGCCGCGGCGCCGTATACATTAAGTCATAGTTAAGCGATAATGGCTTAAAATTGCCTTTTCAATAAAGCCAGTACCATGATCTTAACATAAATTTTATGAGTTTTATTTCTATTTAAAGTTTTATACCTAAACCCTAAAAAACACCCTTTATAATCCAGATGTACGCTAGATTAGTTTAGAGGTTGTAAATAATGCATAGAATTGCTAATTTAATCATTTTGAAGGTGCGAAGTGATGGCGTATTTTGACACAGGAAGCAAAAATGTTTCTCAAAAGTCTGGAAGGCCAGATCTTCAGTTTATGATCATGCCATTGGGCATAACGGAAGATAGTGGTTATTATTTGAGGAAACTTATGGGTAAAGTTGAACTATGCATTTTTAACGTTGAACCATTTCTTTCTTATACTAAATCGATAACCGGGGCTTATCTACAATTTTTTTGTGAATTTTAGGAATATCAGATCTCGTGTGGTCGCGATATTTTTCGAAAATCCAAAAGAAAAGCATGACGATTTTGCCGGTATTGCTTCACCCAAAAAGTAACGGGATTGTAAGATTGAAAGACAAAAACCCATCAACGGAGCCGTTCATAGATCCCCAGTATTTAACGAATCGACAGGACATCGAAGTACTGATCAGCGGCATCAGATTAATACAAAATCTTCTAAAAACGCAACCTCTCGCGTCTTTTGGAGCAGATTTTAACACTCATGCATTTCCAGGTTAGTGAAAATAATTAAATTCTTACTCCATTCTGTCGGAAAATATGTATGAAGCAATGTTTTGATTGAAGTCTTTTCTAGGTTGCGAAGAATTTCCGTTTGACAGTGAAAAATATTGGGAATGTTACATCAGACAACTAACGATCACTTCTTATCATCCAGTAGGGACATGCAAAATGGGTAGAAAGGAGGATGCTTCTACCGTTGTTGATTTTACATTCCAGGTAAGTGTACGATTCAGTTGATGGCATATAAGAGGTGTATTTGGTTGGTTTAGGTTAAAGGCATCAATAAATTATATGCGGTTGATGGTTCTGTGCTTCCTACTTTGCCCAGCGGCAATATCAATGGTCCGATTATGATGTTGGCCGAAATGGCTGCAGATCTAGTTAAAAAAGCCCATTATTTAAGTTACAAACAGTGTGTACTTATGGATTTATTTGTTCCTGAAACTATGTGTTAGACTGAGTAGTCAATAAAATTAATCGTTTTCTAATCAGTTGATTAAAATAATATAACAAGATGAATGTTTTAAAGAGTTTTACATATGAAGGAATGAGGTATTTTAAGACATCTTTACCGCATTTGTTAAACATTGTAGATCCATTACTATCGAAAATAAAAACAAAGTAAAAAGTTGTTCATTTCAATTATTATATCACAGTGCCAGTAAATGTTTTCAAGTTCCTTCAGTGCCGAATAATTACTTGCATTTTTACAATATCGAATTTCTTATATTTACAAAACAATCTCTTCCTACAATCAATGATTCTGTCTTGAAAAGCGGTTGAATATTTCTAAATGTTTCACTAGTAGTAGTCGTGTTGTTACGACGCTTTGGAAAGGCTAAATTTCGGCAGGCATAACCCGAACTTTGTTTCAATTCCTGAAAAGATTGGTACTGACACTGAGTATCCTCCTAAGTGATCAGCGTTTCTTAGCGCGTTGTCTGCAACTATTGATGGAACTTTCAGTTCTGAACCAGATGGTCGACTGAAAAAAACATAGATAAGCCTAGTGGACTTTTTTTAAATCTTTTATAGAGTTGAATGATTATTATGTAAATAATTAATGTTATTAAGAACTTGAAAAATTGGTTGCGGGTGCAAATTTGGAGAATTCTAACCGGAGATCCAAATGTTTGAATAGTCTTCAGATAGTTGAACACGAATAATTTGCATATTCTTCTATTAGTGAAAAAAAATGTATGTTTTTAAAACTTACCTTCCTCCGAAATCAACATACAACGTTCTTTGTAAAAGTTCATATGTTAACAGCGTAACACCAAATTGCGGGGACGATCTGAATACTCGAGCTGGAAAAATAGCGATTTGTATAGTTCCAGAGGTATTGAAGTATATACGGTTCGAGTTTTCCTTTGTTTTAAGCAAGATATATTTTTTTACATACCTATTGAACCTTTCCAGAACGCTCGGAATCCTTCTTCGGCATATATTTTGCGAGTGGCATCTAAAACTCCTGAGTATGTGGTTTGTCCAGCCCTGGCTACTACCTGTAATCTTGTTTTTATAACGTCGGCTGGTGTAACAAGCGATGCAGCAGGAATACCAGCAATGGCTCCCGCCACCAGCAAAGTAAGTGGATGGTTGTATCCGCTTTCATCTGCAAAACTAAGATAACAAAGATAAATATTTTTCGTTAAACCAATCGAAGCAGATGTAATCACGTAATCGTACCTAGCTTTGGTGTGAGCGTATGCGGGGAAGTATATAGCGCTGAATGGTACATCTCTTAGTAAACATGCGCGAGCTCCTTTGTATAGACCGAACAGGCCCAGCTCCTTTACTACATTCCACGCTCGGACTTTAGCTCCTCCGGCGATTTCTCCAGCTACTTGGAGTCGAATTTTTACAATTTCCAAGGGATTCGTAAAAATTACTTGTGATCCACCAGCCTAAAGAAAAAAGATAATATAACATAATACACTAACAAACAGTAAAGTAATTGAATTAAGTGAATCATTGGGTACTTACACAGGCACCAGACAATATCTCCCCATACAAAGAAATATTCCCATTTTTATCTGTGAGCTTGTCTCTGACTAAATCATTGACCTAAAACCCAGCATTGCCAATATTCCCACATTTGAGCAATATTACTTCTTATACGTACAGTGAGTTTTATGGCCTTTTCAGGTGCGACACCCAATAGTTGCGGTACCAATCCCCTATATAATCCAAAAATTCCCTCATGTCTGATGACTTTTTTAAAGCAATCGAAGCTATTTTTGTACATCAATTCACCGATAAATGAACCAGTGCGTTGATTTTGCATTCGAGTTTTCACCAAATCGATCGGATATACTGCAGTAGCACCCACGGCTGAAAATATGAAATATATTTATAAATTTCGCTTTGAAAACTGGGCATTCAAACAAATAAATGCCAAACCCTGCATGCATGATGAATCACACTCCTCTTGAGACAAATATACTGAAAAGCGATTATATGAGTTATGTGCAAGGATGAATTTACATACTTACCATGCTTTTTTGTGCGAACATAAAACTGTTAATCTACAAGCTGAAGAAGAAGACAACACAAAAGATGATAAAGATACCGGCCAATTAGAACTTACCTCCGGCGATAGAACCTAAGGTGAAACGATAAGCACTTTCAAGAATTTGAATTAAAACTCCTCTTTCCTCGGGACTCTGAAAATTATGACAAAACAAACTGTTGTTTAAATAACTCCAAAATACACAATTCCTGATATAGTCTATCTTTTAATTAAACTTCTTTCTCAATTGAAATCGTAATTAGGTACATTAATTCGAATTATCCAAATCGAATCGAATTCGCCCACTATCATGGTTAAAACTGAAGTTATGTTCAAAGGAAGATAACAATTATAATGAAGGTACTATGTTTACGTAAAAATTAATCATTATCAACTTACCGAAACAGCGTGAATTTCAGCAAGCCGGTTGGTAATTTGCTTAAAATACTGCTCTGGAGCAATTGCATAGAGATCGTTGTACACAATACGCCTGAAAGAAAAATATATTGCAAAATTAAATATGCAGATTTCGATTTTTTTTCATTTTAAAAACCTAAGAAAGTCTAGCAAGTGCTGGTTATATTTTAGTTGAATTAAAAAAAACAGGCTAGCTAAGATGCTGAGTAAAATCATATATCTTGTTATTTGCGTTTTTACCAAAAATTTGACAAATTGAGAATATTTATTTGTCCCTTACCAAATAGTAAATTAGTTTCACCTTCTAATAAAGCTTATTTTAATTACAGTCGGTTATGTGAAAAGTAAGTTACCCTGTTTGATGCAAGACGTCTACCAAATGAAAAAGAATTTCAACTTCGAGTGGAGTCATTTGGGACATTGCCTGTGCGGAATGCATAAATTCATATTTGCTAACTTCTTGAGCACGATGGCCGTTAGTAACGTTGAGGTAAATTCTTTTCACCAATTCCATATTATTAAGTAGGGAATTGAATGCTATGAAGTATGGAAAGCTCACTCGGCGAGATTGAGTTTCTCCTTGTACAGCCTAAGAGTTTAACAAATGGTTAGTAGAGAAAACGTAAAAACAAATTCCAAAAGTGTTCGAACTGCAACTGCATTCAGGTGGAATGTTTATAATTGTATTAACAAAAATACATTTCCAGCCTTTCCAATTTGCTAATAATTTATTAATTCCCGTGACGGACTTAACATGCAATGTTAATAATCCTCCTCATGAAATTGCGCAAATATTACTGGATGTTTAAAACAAAATTTTATTAAATATTTGGATTGCAGTACATAGTATGTAAATAAAAAAAACCATAGTTTTTAAATTATTACCTCTTATTATTAAAATCTTACCTCTATAAGGTGGGTTTGAACTTCTTTGGTGAGTAAGTGACTCTTGATGTTGATCATAATGTCCTGAAAATCCAAAACAGAAATAAAACCAGAGCCATCTTTGTCAGCTCTCCTAAAACCTTCAATGGCATACTCCTCATGGAAGTCATGTAAAAATTGGCTGAACTCGTTGTAGGTAACCAAGCGTTGTTTGTTCTTACCGAAGTAGAGCTGCACAAAAGGCGTATCCATATTGAATGGGATACGCTGGTGCAGCTCAGTTTTTTTCATTACTTCGACAAATTCATCTGGAAATAAATTGGTTTTTCAAATAAAAGTCGCTTTCAGACAAATATGTTTACGGGTCCTGGACTAACGTCGTTCTAAATACAGGAACAAATAGAGAACAAAAATATAAAGGAATAAAACTTAATTTTTAACTTAACCTTCTAAGAACCTTCTACAATGCAAACCACATGTTTATGGACTTCACCATTCTAACCAAAATGAAAAAGCCACATTAAATTAAGTCTAGTTTGCAAATAACAGGTCTGTATTCTCTAGTATTAAAAAGTGAACAAATCTCTTTACCTTGATTCTTAGTGGTAGCTATTATGACCTTTGCAAGGTTACTCAAGTTCAAAAACACATACTTACGGAAGCTAACCATGCCATTTCCATTGGTGTCAAAGAGCTGAAAAGCTGTTTTATAAAGAGCATCAGGAAAGCATAATAAGCCCTCAAAGGCCTGGAACTCGGGATAAGAAATAAGTCCATCCTTGCTGGTGTCAACAATGCCAGCCAATAAGCGCACAGTGTCAGCATTAAAATCTTTATCGTTCAATAAACCCAGGAATCTGATCACAAAATCATCAGGAGTCATAAACTTCTCGCCGTTCTTCTCGATGGAAGCATATTTGTTGAAGATGTCCTGCAACTGTACGGGATTGGCCCTTTTTAAGTAACCTCCGCCCTGAAACAAGTTAAACGATGAAATTCACTGAAAAATAGCAAACTGAAGAATAAAGATAACGAAAATAGTTTGCTTCCCAACTGACCTCAATAAATTTAACAGAATTTTTGGCCATAATACGGACTCACGAATTGATTTGTAGTGCGAACAATCTAAGGATTTTGCAAACAATTTAAAAATCGCGACCCGTGCGCGTTTCTTACATCACAGTGATGCAGTTAAAAATAGTTTCAAAACAGCGCTACTGCTGTACGCAGAAAATCGAAAAATAAACTCCAAGAGCATTGTATCAAGGTTTGTGAGAGATATGTACAAATATATGTGATAAGTATAAAATTGTAAAACGCCATGAACAAATTGGCATAAATCAAAAAAATGTTACCAGGTGAGCGCATTGTAGTACTGCCAAGAATAAAATGGAAGAAAATATTTTTTAAATAAGCCCAAAAATTGAAAAAAATGCTTTGCCCAGTAACTAATTTGCTCTGCATGTGATCTGCAAATACTTTATACGGTTGACTGTAGGTGTGGTGTATAAATAAAATGTTATACCTTCTTCAAGCGCACGTGCCGATATATTTAGAATCGTATCATTCGTGTTAGCCTTTAACGTACACAATACTTGAAATTAAAAAAATGAGGGAGCCAAAAGATTTTTTATTACATTAGAAAAGCTATAATTGTCGAAAGTTAGCTAGCTGATCGAAAACAATCATACAGGGGTTCATAGTTCCTTCAAAAATTGAGAGATAGTTCTGTACAACAAAATTAATAGTTTAAGAAAAAGTCGAAAATTCAAAAAGAGAGAAAAAGAGAAGCGGGATTTGAATTGCTTGAACTAAAGCTGTTTGCACTATTTGGTCCACTTTTCTTTCTTTTTTTTAAACAAGTGATTTGTGCATAATTTTGTTCACAACTTTTGGATAATAAATACTTAAAGACTACTACTAAACGTAATCTGGAAATTGATTTGTGTATACCTACAGCGCGTCTCAATTGTGAGATACAGAATATAATCTTAACGGAATTGAATTAACGCGTTTTACAAATTTACTTTGAGCTACTGAACCGACCAAATCACAAGATGAGCTAAACGTAAGCTGCTAAAAAAGAATATTTTCTATAAATATAATTACACCTATCCAAAAGAATATAAATTATGTACCTATTTGTAAAACATATAATTATGGCAGAAAAACATTGCAAAATTATCATTAAAAAATTCGATAATGACACTATATCTCACTCTTGACACACCTTGTAGGTATACAAAATATAATTGCGAATAATGAGAATTTAGAAAGACTAATTGAGGTGTTCAAGCGGTTTTGCGAAAACGTGTCTAGTTAATTTGAAATAATCCTTTCGTCGGACACGCACTGCTTATTATCACTGGTCAGCTCATAATCATTAAATGGTAGGTGCTAAATTTCGCATTTTAAACATAATGTATAAGAGTCATAGCTAAACAAGTTATCTTGTTCAAGGTGGGAAGTGAATTTCCTATGGGAACAATTCGTTTTAATTTATCAACATTTTTTGATATTAGTGGAAGTGCAGAAGATTATTAGATTGGTATGAATTCTCACCTTAACATCACGTGATGCAATACTCATGATACCAAAGGAGTAAAATTCAAAACTCACCAGGCAACACTTGAGATAGATAAGAAAATACGCGACCTTATGCTTTTTGAATAGAATTAATTTTATCGTTCCCAGCATATAGCAAATTAAAATGTTAAATGGTAGATTACGCTTTTCAGTTATCAACTGACGTCATTATCGTCCCGCAACTAAAACAGCCTGTTAACGATTTGCAATAGTTGTTTGTTTTTATGAAAAAATATGCACGCTTATGATTGCGTCCTCCTAACCGTTGAAAACACGAATCAAAGCCAGCAAATTTCCATCACATATTGAATTGATACATTTTATTATTTTCTATTTAGGTACTGAGTTGTTATATGTAGAATATGTATATGTAACAAAAAAATTATCAGTCATATTTTCCAAGTGTATTCCAATTCAAAGGAGTGCTATAAGCTGCTTACACTATGATGTAATAGGCGCTCTTACGAAAGTATTTATACAGGGTGATTAAAAATTGGCGGCATTCCTCTGGAGCCCTTGTCTGGGGGTGCTTTGGGAGTACAGGAAAAATAGTAAAACAATAATTGTTATTAAAAACTGAGAATTTTGCAAAAAAACTATATCAGAAAAACGGCAACACAATGTTTTTGAATCATCTTGAAGAACTGTAAAATGTATTCTAGGCATAAATTCGAAATACAGTCACACTTTTTCAACTAAAACTTAAAATAATGTTGCCATTGTTGGCTTAATTTCATTAGAAGTAAGAAGTGTATTGCCATTAAATTTGCAATAACTTGTTTTCTTTGCAGTAACAGTAAATTCAGCCATATTCAGAATTTCAAATACCAGATCACAACTTTGTAGAATCTTGAACCAAGTCAATACCAGTCTTATTAAAATGGCATTACTCGTATACCTACGTATTAAAATATAAAAATGTACAGTTGTATGACTGAGATACTATCTAAAGTTGCAGTTTTCTAGGTGAAACTTGACGCATTTCTTGAACGAAACGAAACGATTAAAAATATCTTTTCATTCGTAAGGACCTTTTCTTCGATTCTTCGTCTCAAAAAATATATTTCAGTTTTATCGGAAATACCTAAGATTTACAGATACAGCTCAAACAAGAAAGCATAAATTAAAAAACAGCTTATACCTATTTTGAAAAAGCCGCAAATATCAGTCCTGAGAACCACTCGGACATGACTAAGCGAGAGAGCACTGCAACTGCAGAGCTATTTTACTTCAACTTTAATAAGTTGAAGTAAAACTCCTAAAGTACAACTTTTAAGTTTTTAGTATTTTTTGTCTATTGGTAAAGGTTTAAAACAGCCGAATATCAATTAGGTTATTTTTCGTTATATTATAGGTATTCTCAACATGTAAAGACGTAGTAGCCAATTTCTCAAATGGCAAGAAACCATTTAAGCGAAATTTAAATTTAATTTAATTTAATTACATATACTTTAGAATTGGTTGAGAATATGTAAAATCTGAGCAATAATTAAAACGTTTGTGATAAAGCACCTCGTAAACGTAAGTAACTTCTAGTTAGGATTTACCGGACATTCTTTATCATTAACACGCTAGAAGAGAATGATCTAAGAACTTCTATCGTTGCAACGATTCAAATATTTAATTCAACGTAATGAATAATAATATAATATATAATAAAGATCTGAATAATAAATACCATTTTTTCGCTAGCTCATCTCGAACTCTTATTTGTTTTTCTCCAGAATTTTTTTATCTCTACAGAGATAAACGAAAATCTTCAAAAACTTGACGAAAAAACCTCCATAGTTGACATTAGCTGAATGTTTGTGGGATTCTTGTGTTACAAAAAGAGTTTACTTAGTTTGTAACTCGAGTAATTCACAAACTAAGCATATTTTTGTGCTAGTTACTTTACTAAATAAATGTCCACATTATCATACTTATGTATGATTAACTGAAACTCTACATAACTCAAAGAAGATGACCCTTGACTGGAGATAACTGAGCATTAAAAATTATTATGTATCGTTTTGTTTGCTCGTGTTTGATCATGTTTATTTATTAAATTTAAATTTTATTGTAGGTATACATACATGCCATGCCGTTTCGGTTTTATTTATCAGTTTTTTGAAGATGGGGGAATTGTAAATTTAAAAGTCAGTTTCTCAGTTTTCTGAGGTCGGACATATACCGTGTACCATATAAACATTTGTGAAACATATAATGCAGATAACTGAAACGACATTTGGGGATTTAAATACTCTATTTGAGAAACGTTTCTGAAACAAAAAATTGTTTAGCGGGTTTGTGTCAACAGCGATTGGTTAATGTAATACTACATAGTTTTCATTTTATTAGAAAATAGGTAGTACCCGTATGATGCATAGGCATGGACGTTGGACAATAAAAGTGAAAATACTGGAATTCCAAGAAAAGTATACCTAATCCTTACGTACATATTTAAACTTAAATTAGACTTACCTACCTCTTGGCAAGATGCTTTAAAGACACTTAATACTTTCTCCATTGCAACTTGGGGATTGTATCTTCAAAATCTGTATATATTTAAAAAAAACCAGGAAGTGCTTATGTGACTTTTTGCCAATTTTCTTGAAAAAATCCCTAAAATTTCCAAAAAACTGGCCGTGTTAAGCAGACGCAATTCTTTAAACTAAAATTGGCTTATCCGTAAAAAATATGTCTGGACAGATAAATAATACGCTCAAAAATAATTTTGAAAATGACCTTTTCTAAGGTTACCAGTTTTCTGGTTTCAGGCGTTTCCACGGCGTTTCAATCCAGTTCATAGATGAAGACAACTATCTGATGACTGATCCAGTTGTCAGTGTCAAGCTAAATCATATGGTGTGGATGACGACGATGCGGCAACCAGGGAAATCAGGCAGCTGACCGAAAAAAAATGATGATTGGTGACTCCAAAACTGACGGAAAATTATAGAAGGATAAACATTTTAAATGTTCCAGTAAACTACAGGATTTATGTAAATGTAAATGTACAGGATGTAAAGTTTTTCGTTTCAGTTGCCGAGATAGTGCAACGGATATGCATCTTAAGTCGTTCTTTGAGAAAGAGAATTCTTTGACGACCACGCCCATTTCTTTTGTGAATGGTACCTATTTCTATTGGCTGAATTAGCTGTTAAAGTCCTAAAGAGGGCGGGACTTTGGACGATGGATCATCGTACCATCGTATAAACGGATGCAACGGGCTTAAATCCTAGTTGGATAATCCTTCTAGAATCCTTCTGGTAAACAAGGTTTATAACGCTGTCTAAAATATGTTATGAAAAGGACAAAATTATATTAAATGCTAGAATATTTATATAAAGGGATTTAGCAGAAAATTCTTTGTGCTGGCTAGTAGAAAAATCAAGAAAATTATACATAATTACGTGTTTATCAATTTAAATGTTTAGTTTTAAAAACAAAAAATTTTCATTTATTGTACATTATTTTACTAAGTACAAGTACTAAATGTACTATGCAGAAAAATATGTAAATATTTGCTTTTTACACCTTAAACTCAAGCAGTGAAGCTATAAATAATACATTGTTGGGAAAATGAACAAAACGCCAATTAGCCAATGAAATATTTACGAAAATTGATTGAAATTTGTAATTGCTTCGTAACATAGTCAGAGATAAATTATTTTGGTTTTAACCAATAGAAAATTTCATAAAGGTCTCTAAAATAATAATTTCAGCTTAATTAGTTTGTGGCACATATTTGAAGGGTTTATAGAAGACAAACTTTTATTTAAAAGTTAGGGCATTAAGTTCAGAAAAATAAAGGCAAGAAAACACATTTTTGAGTTGCAACAAAACTAACAAACCCTAGTCCCAGACAGCACAAGACGTCTCTAACGGGCATTATGCCCTCATACATACATTTAAAGTTTAGCTCTCTAGTTCCACAGACTACATACTATTTTAACTTGTGGCGAATCTTGACAAGACGCATTCGCCCCAAAAGGTTGGCTGACGTTGGCGACCCTGCTGAATGCCAGGCATACCAATAGGCTGCGGTGAGAGAGACAACATCGCAGACATCTCTCTCTCGAAGGGACAAAGCCTCTCAACAGGGCATTTGCACTTTCGCGCGCGGACACCCCGCTTACGCTCTATTTATTGTTAGTTGATTAAAAGCACAGATTACAGAGTATAGATTGGACAGTTTTGCTTTCCCGCCAAAATGATTTTGCTAAATGCAACCACAGAGAGGCGTCGTCCAAAAATCCA